TGCTGGGACTTAGGTCTGAAGCAAGAGGGGGGTTCTGACTGCGGGGAAACTTAGGTCTGAAGCAAGAGGGGGGGTTCTGACGCTGGACTTAGGTCTGAAGCAAGAGGGGTGGTTTCTGACTGCTGGGACTTAGGTCTGAGCAAGAGGGGGGGTTCTGACTGCGGGACTTAGGTCTGAAGCAAGAGGGGGGGTCTGACTGCTGGGACTTAGTCTGAAGCAAGAGGGGTTCTGACTGCTGGGACTTAGGTCTGAAGCAAGAGGGGGGTTCTGACTGCTGGGACTTAGGTCTGAAGCAAGAGGGGGGTTCTGACTGCTGGGACTTAGGTCTGAAGCAAGGAGGGGGGGTCCTGACTGCTGGGACTTAGGTCTGAAGCAAGAGGGGGGGTTTCTGACTGCTGGTACTTTAGGTCTGAAGCAAGAGGGGGGGTTCTGACTGCTGGGACATAGGTCTGAAGCAGGAGGGGGGGTTCTGACTGCTGGGACTTGGGTCTGAAGCAAGAGGGGGGGTTCTGACTGCTGGGACTTAGGTCTGAAGCAAGAGGGGGGTTCTGACTGCTGGGACTTAGGTCTGAAGCAAGAGGGGGGTTCTGACTGCTGGTACTTAGGTCGAAGCAAGAGGGGGGGTTCTGACTGCTGGACTTAGGTCTGAAGCAGGAGGGGGGGGTTGACTGCTGGGACTTAGGTCTGAAGCAAGAGGGGGGGTTCTGACTGCTAGGACTTAGGTCTGAAGCAGAAGGGGGGGGTTCTGACTGCTGGGACTTAGGTCTGAAGCAAGAGGGGGTTCTGACTGCTGGGACTTAGGTCTGAAGCAAGAGGGGGGTTCTGACTGCTGGGACTTAGGTCTGAAGCAAGAGGGGGTGGTTCTGACTGCTGGGACTTAGGTCTGAAGCAAGAGGGGGGGTTCTGACTGCTGGGACTTAGGTCTGAAGCAAGAGGGGGGGTTCTGACTGCGGGACTTAGGTCTGAAGCAAGAGGGGGGTTCTGACTGCTGGGACTTAGGTCTGAAGCAAGAGGGGGGTTCTGACTGCTGGGACTAGGTCTGAAGCAAGAGGGGGGTTCTGACTGCTGGGACTTAGGTCTGAAGCAAGGGGGGGGGTTCTGACTGCTGGGACTTAGGTCTGAAGCAAGAGGGGGGGTCCTGACTGCTGGGACTTAGTGTCTGAAGCAAGAGGGGGGGTCCTGACTGCTGGGACTTAGGTCTGAAGCAAGAGGGTGGGTCTGACTGCTGGGACTTAGGTCTGAAGCAAGAGGGGGGGGGTTCTGACTGCTGGGACTTAGGTCTGAAGCAAGAGGGGGGGTTCTGACTGCTGGGACTTAGGTCTGAAGCAAGAGGGGGGGGTTTCTGACTGCTGGGACTTAGGTCTGAAGCAAGAGGGGGGGTTCTGACTGCTGGGACTTAGGTCCTGAAGCAAGAGGGGGTTCTGACTGCTGGGACTTAGGTCTGAAGCAAGAGGGGGGGTTCTGACTGCTGGGACTTAGGTCTGAAGCAAGAGGGGGGTTCTGACTGCTGGACTTAGGTCTGAAGCAAGAGGGGGGTCCTGACTGCTGGGACTTAGGTCTGAAGCAAGAGGGGGGTCCTGACTGCTGGGACTTAGGTCTGAAGCAAGAGGGGGGGTCCTGACTGCTGGGACTTAGGTCTGAAGCAAGAGGGGGGGGTCCTGACTGCTGGGACTTAGGTCTGAAGCAAGAGGGGGGGGGTCAACCTGACTTCTTTGGGAACTCATCTTTTCCATTTCCCTTAATTGGGGAAATGTTTTTTGTCATTCCCTCTCAGATTTGGACATGTTTCCCAAGTTCCCAGGACTCGGTAAGGCATAAATTTTAGTGGTTCCTAACAGCCCTTACAAGAAAAAATAACAGTGACCTCAGCTGTTACTTCTGGTTGTCAGTCTCGGTGTGTATATGTCTGTCTTACCTCAGTAGACGTAGGAGTTAGTCAGTCCCTCAAGCTTGGTGACAAGATTTCCTCACAAGGGACACTTTATCAGCTCCAGTGTTTCACTCTGGATGTAGGTAACCTGTTACTGACCTCAGGTGCACTCTAGGTGTTTCACTCTGGATGTAGGTAACCTGTTACTGACCTCAGGTGTACTCTAGGTGTTTCACTCTGGATGTAGGTAACCTGTTACTGACCTCAGGTGCACTCTAGGTGTTTCACTCTGGATGTAGGTAACCTGTTACTGACCTCAGGTGCACTCTAGGTGTTTCACTATGGATGTAGGTAACCTATTACTGACCTCAGATGTACTCTAGGTGTTCCACTCTGGATGTAGGTAAGCTGTTACTGATCTCTTGTGTACTCTAGGTGTTCCACTCTGGATGTAGGTAAGCTGTTACTGACCTCAGGTGCACTCTAGGTGTTTCACTCTGGATGTAGGTAACCTGTTACTGACCTCAGGTGCACTCTAGGTGTTTCACTCTGGATGTAGATAACCTGTTACTGACCTCAGGTGTACTCTAGGTGTTCCACTCTGGATGTAGGTAACCTGTTACTGACCTCAGGTGTACTCTAGGTGTTTCACTTTGGATATAGGTAACCTGTTACTGACCTCAGGTGCACTCTAGGTGTTCCACTCTGGATGTAGGTAACCTGTTACTGACCTCAGGTGCACTCTAGGTGTTTCACTCTGGATGTAGGTAACCTGTTACTGACCTCAGGTGTACTCTAGGTGTTTCACTCTGGATGTAGGTAACCTGTTACTGACCTCGGGTGCACTCTAGGTGTTTCACTCTGGATGTAGGTAACCTGTTACTGACCTCAGGTGCACTCTAGGTGTTTCACTCTGGATGTAGGTAACCTGTTACTGACCTCAGGTGTACTCTAGGTGTTTCACTTTGGATGTAGGTAACCTGTTACTGACCTCAGGTGCACTCTAGGTGTTTCACTCTGGATGTAGGTAACCTGTTACTGACCTCAGGTGCACTCTAGGTGTTTCACTCTGGATGTAGGTAACCTGTTACTGACCTCAGGTGCACTCTAGGTGTTTCACTCTGGATGTAGGTAACCTGTTACTGACCTCAGGTGTACTCTAGGTGTTTCACTCTGCTGGTTTCACTCCTCTGGCACTTGGGTAAAATCAACTTGAAATAAATGGAACATTTTTCTTATGAGCAAAGGGAACTCTATTTCCCTTATATTTCTCCATCCAGCTTTTGAGTAATATTTCAGCGGTCTTGATACAACGACGGCTGTCAGTTGTCTCTTAAGAGACCAGGAGCTATAGATTAACCCCTACAAATACAAACAGGTAAGTGCATATTGACACATGCATGGAGCTAAGAGGGAGTCAGCGTGAAGATTGGCAACTTAAGAGGCAGGGCCAAGATGATGATATTATTACAATCAAAACTGAGTGCTGAACCCACAAGGGTCTTACAGTGCTGCACGGCCAGGATATGAGAATGAGAATCAACCCCTGTAACCACAAATAGACGAGTACAAAGTACAGTGGACCCTCGGTTTACGATATTATTTCATTCCAGAAGTATGTTCAGGTGCCAGTACTGAACGAATTTGTTCCCATAAGGTATATTGTGAATTAGATTAGTCAGTTTCAGACCCCCAAACATGCACGTACAAATGCACTTACATAAATACACTTATATAATTGGTCGCATTGGGAGCTGGTCGTAAAGCGGGGGTCCACTGTATACAGTTATTCACTTGACGCTACACAGATACACATCTTGCCTCACAAAGAAGTCAGTATACTGTACGTATGTGAAAAGCAATTATATTTATTAATAGAATGGAAGAAACGGGTAAATGTTTAGGAATATTAATGTCAGACGACATGGGTCATTAAAAACAAGAAAGCAAGGACATAAATAGCAGGGTTGATTACAAGAACTTGTTAAAGAAGAGAATCCACATGAATGCTGGCACTCTTAAAAGCATTTGTACTTTCTCCTAGGGTAATATTCTGCCCTCGGCTGCAATGGCAGGCTGAGTTGTACTCTGCGTACAGTATCATATTCGTGATATTGGTTTTACTGTATTTTATATGTAGGTTCTTTTGTGCCAACCAATGCTTATTGCACTTGGCACTCTATGGCACTGTTGGGTTTGTCAGGTTACCTTGACAATCCAACATATCTTGATTAATTGCATCCCCCCCCCCTCCCCATGCCCATCAACTTTCTCTCTTGTGTAGCAATGTATGATAATACTGCTATTGTATGTCTGGATTAATACAATACTTTTGTGTAAAAAAAACTTAACTTGTCAGTTTAATTTGTATCAGCATTATAATATACGGATGCTCCTCATTTTATGATGGTTTAGCTTCCAATATTTTAACTTTACGATGGTGTAATAGCGATGCTCCTTCAGTAGTCGTCAAACTAACTCCTAAATTTATATTTACAACCACCTAAGAGATTGTATATAAAAACACTCAATTAATCATTGCCTTTTTAACCCGTAAACGGTCCAAACGTATATATACGTTTTTTCAACATTTGAAAGTATGTAAAAAAAGTAGATCTTCTTTTTGTTTTTTACATTAGAAAATGTGTAAAAAAAACTTTGATCTACTTTTTTTTTTTTGTTACATTTGAAAATAAACGTAGATCTACTTTTGTAGCACCACACATGTGAACGTAGATCTGCTTGGACCGTTTACGGGTTAAACTTAAGTTACTTTTAAGTTTGCCCAAAATGCTCTGCATATTAAGGGGCTTTCTGCATGTACACCTAAATGTCATCCACCTCTGTACAAACATTGTATCATGCTGAGATGAAAAATGTAATCTAATCAAAAATCTTTGATAAGATAAACTTGTATTCATTTATTTACTTTTCAGTACTGGTATTTAGTTATTTGCAGTAAATATTTACTTACTATTTCAGTGACAGTAGCTATTTATTTATCATATATTCACATTGGACTTAGGATATTTTCAACTTACAATGGGTTCATCGGAACTTAATCCCCCATCGTAAGTCAGGCTATTCCTACAGTGTAAAGTTTTTCTACTGATGTGCACTCTGTCTTCAGATGCGACAAAGGGAGAGCGAAGTGGCAGCTGGTGGGGAGGACAATCGACCACTGAGTGATGCGTCCTCGTGCTGTGATCCGTCTGAGGCAGCTGTCAAGTTCCGGGAGAAGGCAAGAACTCAGGTTGGTGCTTCTGAAGCGTCCTGAACCTATGATGATTGAGGCGTATGTGCAACAGTTGGGTATCTTTATTGTTGAAATGTTTCACACGCACAGTAGACATCTTCAGTCACATGCAGCATCATTAGGAGTAGTGACGAAGTAAAGTTGGTGTATTTTATACATTTTTCACCACTACTGAAACTACGTCACCCTTCAAGGGTGATGGACTGATTACGTCGTCTTCAAGTATCTTCTGCTTCTATCAACTTTTCTGTACTTGACTGAAGAAGCCTACTGTGTAGGCAAAATGTTTCGAAATAAAGATACCTAACTGTTGCATATGTGTCTTACCTAACTACGTCAAGATTTACATTGTTGTTAGATAAATGATCATGTGCGGGTAGTGAGACATTTATTGTGGCAACGTTTCACTCACCAGGGACTGTCAAGTTATTACAAAGCAAATACATGAATATAGTGATATATAAAGGAAGTAAAGTGAGGTACTATTTACTAGAAGTACATAGTAGTAGTTGTGGTAGTGGGTGAGGTAGTAGTAGTAATAATCTTGGTGAGCGTTAATGTCAAGTAATAGCAGAGATATGTGTCCTGTAGCTTAATCGTTAGCACACTCAGCTCACACACTGAGGTCTGGAGTTCAAATCTCCAGTATGACTAGAAAACATTAGGGACGTGTTTCCACAAGACACTTGTTGTCCATGTTCACCCATCAGTATAAAATGGGTGTGGGTCGCATCCTGGGACAAAACTGACCTAATTTGCAGGAAATGCTCAGCATAGCAAGCGGCTTTCTATGTAGTAGTATATCATTGATGTCAGCTAGGCCTGTATACCTTGTACATGTACTTGTAGAAATAAAGATATTATTATTATATTATTATTAAGGATGATCCAGTAACAGCTGTGCTGACATTGTCCCATCTGGATGCTGTCAGGTTTACACTCAAAGCATCAAGGAAATTCAATACAGTACATACATTTCAGAGCATAAATATACACCTACCATCCGACTTACGACCGAGTTCGGTTCCGAGAAACCGGTCGCAAGTTGAAATGGTTGTAAGTCGAACTTTACTACTGAATATCAACAAAACATTTTTGTAATGACTTTATTTTATTGTTTTATTTTGGGATTTCATGTTTTACTTTACTTTTTATGTTGTTAGTACTGTATTTTATACTATAAGGTTTAGGATAAACACTGTGTACAACACAAACAGCTGTTTATTTCCCAGAAATTTGGCATAAAAAACACGGTTATAAGTCGAGTGGTCGTAAGTCGAGCAGGTCGTAAGTTGGATGGTAGGTGTACTTCAACCATCAAAATAAACAATCCCTGCACAGTTCATAATAACTTGCATAATTATATCATGAAGTGGAAGAATGCATAATTAGTAATAATAAGAGCAGGTGTTTGGAAGTGACTCGCATCACTGTCACAAAACATCTGCAGTTTCACTGCTGTAACTTAATATATCTTTTTATACTTAGTTAAATTACCTTTTAGCTTAAAACCCAGTTCTCTCGCCTCTTGACACCTGTCTTGCCTCACCTTCTTCCCTTATATGCTATACTGATTGTTCTGTCAGGTATATATACTGAGGCTTCAAGCTCCCAGCAAGCAAAACATAGCATAAATAAATATCCAAACATTGCAAATGTGCCCATTCATCTTAATAATCACAAGTTCTTCAGCTCTGTACATCATTAGTAAAACCTCATTTGTAATATTTTTTTATTAACGCATCAGCCATTTCTCACCAAGGCAGGGTGACCTGAAAAAAGAAGAAACACTCATATCATCATTCATTCCGTCAGTGTCTTGCCAGAGGCATACCTACAGTACACAATGGGTATACAATAAATGCAGTGGAGAATATGCGAAAAAGATGGCATAAATCATCCACTGTATAAGGAATCTTTTTCTCTGAAGATAGACTAAGAACCTTAAACCTGTTTGTACTCTTATAATTAAGGGAGATGTTTGAGGTACTGTATAAAGGTGTATAAATCCCTAAGATACTAAGCATATCTAACCATGAAAGAACTTGGAATGATGGCTTATAGTTAGATAAAGCAATTATAAGCTCTAGTTTTAGTCTGCCCAGAATGCTCTGCATAATGTATTAATGTCACCTTATTTTATACCACTTTGAAGGAAAATTTATTAAATTATATAGGAAATGACACTGATAATGTTAATTTAGGATTTTATTATCCTTGAGCACCTGCTCTCTCAAGAAGTTCCCAAGGGCTTTAGAGCACCTGCTCTCTCAAGAAGTTCCCAAGTGCTTTAGAGCACCTGCTCTTTCAAGAAGTTCCCAAGTGCTTTAGAGCACCTGCTCTCTCAAGAAGTTCCCAAGTGCTTTAGAGCACCTGCTCTCTCAAGAAGTTCCCAAGGGCTTTAGAGCACCTGCTCTTTCAAGAAGTTCCCAAGGGCTTTAGAGCACCTGCTCTCTCAAGAAGTTCCCAAGGGCTTTAGAGCACCTGCTCTCTCAAGAAGTTCCCAAGGGCTTTAGAGCACCTGCTCTCTCAAGAAGTTCCCAAGGGCTTTAGAGCACCTGCTCTCTCAAGAAGTTCCCAAGGGCTTTAGAGCACCTGCTCTCTCAAGAAGTTCCCAAGTGCTTTAGAGCACCTGCTCTTTCAAGAAGTTCCCAAGGGCTTTAGAGCACCTGCTCTCTCAAGAAGTTCCCAAGTGCTTTAGAGCACCTGCTCTCTCAAGAAGTTCCCAAGGGCTTTAGAGCACCTGCTCTCTCAAGAAGTTCCCAAGGGCTTTAGAGCACCTGCTCTCTCAAGAAGTTCCCAAGTGCTTTAGAGCACCTGCTCTCTCAAGAAGTTCCCAAGTGCTTTAGAGCACCTGCTCTCTCAAGAAGTTCCCAAGTGCTTTAGAGCACCTGCTCTCTCAAGAAGTTCCCAAGGGCTTTAGAGCACCTGCTCTCCTCAAGAAGTTCCCAAGTGCTTTAGAGCACCTGCTCTCTCAAGACGTTCCCAAGGGCTTTAGAGCACCTGCTCTCTCAAGAAGTTCCCAAGTGCTTTAGAGCACCTGCTCTCTCAAGAAGTTCCCAAGGGCTTTAGAGCACCTGCTCTCTCAAGAAGTTCCCAAGTGCTTTAGAGCACCTGCTCTCTCAAGAAGTTCCCAAGGGCTTTAGAGCACCTGCTCTCTCAAGAAGTTCCCAAGGGCTTTAGAGCACCTGCTCTCTCAAGAAGTTCCCAAGGGCTTTAGAGCACCTGCTCTCTCAAAAAGTTCCCAAGGGCTTTAGAGCACCTGCTCTCTCAAGAAGTTCCCAAGGGCTTTAGAGCACCTGCTCTCTCAAGAAGTTCCCAAGGGCTTTAGAGCACCTGCTCTCTCAAGAAGTTCCCAAGTGCTTTAGAGCACCTGCTCTCTCAAGAAGTTCCCAAGTGCTTTAGAGCACCTGCTCTCTCAAGAAGTTCCCAAGGGCTTTAGAGCACCTGCTCTCTCAAGAAGTTCCCAAGGGCTTTAGAGCACCTGCTCTCTCAAGAAGTTCCCAAGGGCTTTAGAGCACCTGCTCTCTCAAGAAGTTCCCAAGGGCTTTAGAGCACCTGCTCTCTCAAGAAGTTCCCAAGGGCTTTAGAGCACCTGCTCTCTCAAGAAGTTCCCAAGGGCTTTAGAGCACCTGCTCTCTCAAGAAGTTCCCAAGGGCTTTAGAGCACCTGCTCTCTCAAGAAGTTCCCAAGGGCTTTAGAGCACCTGCTCTCTCAAGAAGTTCCCAAGGGCTTTAGAGCACCTGCTCTCTCAAGAAGTTCCCAAGGGCTTTCAACTGATACCTGAAATCGTGAATATATTCCTGACTTTTAACAGACATTCACAACCTGTCAAATAATCTAGAAGCTGCATGAGGGAAGGTTCTTCCTGAGAATGATCTGTCTCTCAGAGCACAAAGCTCTGTCTATACAACAAAATCATCAAGAAACAAGGAATCTACCATCAGGCATTTTAGATGCATTTATTAATAAAAAAATGCTCTTTTTCCACCCGCTGGTGATTTTCACTTACCATATGGAGTCTGGAACCTCAGAGCCATGCAGACGGGGCTTTCTAGTACAGTGGACCTCCGCTTTACGATCAGCTCCCAATGCGACCAATTATGTAAGTGTATTTATGTAAGTGCGTTTGTACGTGTATGTTTGGGGGTCTGAAATGGACTAATCTAATTCACAATATTCCTTATGGGAACAAATTCGTTTAGTAATGGCACCTGAACATACTTCTGGAATGAAATAATATTGTAAGCCGGGGGTCCACTGTATTCTAGATTTCAGGAGCCACCTTCAGCACAGTCGTCCTACTACCACCTTTTTCAGATAGCTCCTTGATTTCTGGATTCTTGACAAGAATACTAGAAAAACATTCTTCTGAGCAAGAAAGCAAAAAATCAGCATCTGGATTGGTTCAGAGACCATGAAACCAGCATCAGTGGAAAAATATGAAGCCATACAAACCCCAGCCTCCCACTTTGCTTCAGCAGTTAGAAAATTAAGCACCAAAGTATGATTTTTAGTCTCCCTTACTTTCTTTATTGGAATTGAACTTTAAAGACTCTTGAATTAAATAGGTTATGTGGCCAACAGTAATATTATCCACTGGGACACTGGGTTTTGGCTTGACAATTGGAAATACTGATCCTGAACCACAGTGTTCATCCTCTGGAGCTTGCATCTCCTCTCCCCGTTTTGCATCATCAGTGCCTTTTCTAACAACGTCAACAAAAAATTGAGGAGAGAGAGTAGGGTCCTACAGATAGCTTATTTACCATTTAGATAGCTTATTGACCCTTTGCAGTTTGTAGCAGAATCCTTCAAAATATTACCAAGAGTATCACTCACTGTACTAACCACTCCCATAGAAACACTATAGTATCACCGATGCTTTCTGAAAGTCAGAGATCTTTCTTGTCATGAAGAACAACTGCTCCAAACATCCATTGCATAACCATTGGAAATCCAAACTTGATGCTTTTACATAACATTATAATCATTCT